CATTATAACGCCCCCACGGCTGAAAGGGCGACCATGTTTGGCCCAAGATTAATAAATAAACAAGTAATCAAGGCTACTAAATGTTTTACGCTTACTCTGGTTCCTCGTAAAAAAAAAGAGACCTTGCGAAAACAAACAACGCATATTCGTATTGGAAAATTGTACGTTGTGTTTTGTCTTTTTCAAATATACTGCTATTTTGTTTCAGCCACGTTATATAGGGAAAATTAGCGACAAACTGCTTTAAACTTCTGTGGGGGGGGTGATAAATAAATTTATAATAAATATAAGCACTTATTTAACTACAACTAATATTGTTAGCTATGACAGCTAAGATATAAATAATCAAATTAGTTCAGTCGTAAAATATAGAAACAAAATTTATTGAATAAACTAAATATTTCACTCGATTTAAACTTTTCTGAGCCAGATATACCAGAACTCATGAACTTTGAGACTTATTCGTTCCATATATGAAATCAAAATAAACAGTTTTCTTCCAATAAATAACAATGAATTCTATGCAGTGCAATTTCTCAATGTTCTTCCTGCGATTTCCACCAAATTTCTAAAGTGCAAAAAGCAGGGACATAGCCAGACTTTTAAAACTAGGTGAATCACTAAAACGAGACTTGGATGGTCCAGTAGGCATGTACAAGAAAGTTGCATTGTTTGGATAACAATGATTAACGGACTTTCTTTCGTGTATACAAAAAATTATATCTACAATAAAAGTTAAGCCTCTTTTTCCAGGACGGAGTGAACGTCTTTTTTTTTTCAAATTGGACTGATTTCGAACTGTCCCTTTTCTCCGTTTTACTTTAAAATTCTTATACAAGTTATTTCGAGTTTCCTATAAGATATTGCTTATAAAAGAAGAGGCTTTTATGTAAGCTTCGCGCCGAAACAGTTAAAGAACAGAGCTTTATAACAATTATTTGGAATGCGATTTATGCTAGCTTCTAGTTAGTCGCATTAAAAGTTAAGATCCAAAGACAAACAGATGGAGAATGGAGATATCGTTTTTAGAACATTTAAGCTATGGCACAGTTTCTTACAACATGGAAGTTTTCATACGAACAAAAAAAAGAGAGATAAATAATTAAAACAGAGAAGAGAGTCACTCGACTTTAGTTTCACGTAAGTTATAATTAATCTTTCTTTTTCATTTTAAAAAGTTTATAAGATTCATTTTTATTTGAAGAATATTCCGAAATTCAAGCCACGTTAATGTACACCCCAAAGGTATTTCATTCCACGACTTAAAGACTTGAGCGTATGTAAAGCTCACTGGAGTTTGAAATTAAGTTTGGGTTCAAAACGGCCCCCCCAAGTCCAAAAGAAAACTTTCCGATACATTGCCCAAGGATTTGTGTGTCGATTCATTAACTTCAACAAACTGTAAATCGTGCCCTTTATGAAACCTTTAGGAGGCAAAGTTTGTTATATTTTCTGTGAATAAAAACAACAACTTTTATTTAAACAATATCCAAAATGAAATTTGCATAAGAAACATACTTTATTCAACGCTCATCTACATTTACTGATACTAAGATATCAACGATAGACAAAGTTATCGTTTGCCGTATATTAGACATATAGCCAACTAATTTGCAGACGTTCAAGCTGGTTACCATAGCAGCCAGAAAAACAAGTGGGTCCGACAACGTGGTACACAGTATAACAGACGATAGTTATTGGGAAAAAGGTGTTTTGAGACCTTGTTCGTAAAATACTTGCAATAAAAAGTGATACTTGATATTATACTAATATATTTATTCAAACATGTAATAACAATAAAAATAATTAAATATGCATAAAGTTGTTTGAATAGAATTCCTGTAGGAAACAATTTTCTTTTAACCTAAAATAATAAGGAAATCCATTTTTGAAAGTTCCATGCGCCTAACACGCGATGAAAATCACGTAAACTACAAATGCTACCAATAATGTAATACGCACTGAAGATGATAAGATGACCCCCTTCGGAAAGTAAGCGAAACTAAAGCTTAAAGGAAGAGCGAAATGCGTAGGTTGTTCGAGGACTCTGCTAATTTCTAAGCTAGGATTACGTAATCAAAATCATCCGAAGGTTTGAAATTAAAAATGAGAAGCCGAACGAAATATGAAGGAAAGAATTAAAAGAAAATATTTTTACTTCCGAGCTTCGTATCGTGGCACGAGGTGATTACGAAGGTCGTGTTTGGAAGTACTGTACATTAAATTCCATATATGAGTGTTAAATTGTGTTAGGTTTTGTTTTAGTGGATTCTTCTACAGTAAAGTCAACGATGAATGAACAGCACACACTACACGTATTCAAACATATATATTCTGACCTAAATACATACAAATATATCAGCATAGACATTTATCTTATCTTATGTGTAACTTTGCCATAATCTGCCCTCTTTCTTCTCTGCTGGCCCATTTTATACCTTTCGTCCCATCGTCGATTTGTCACAACCCCTTCACTATCTGTTCCCACGCGCCACTTTACACTCTCCACAATAACGAGTCACAAACGAAAAATACAATATCATACACTAAACAAAAACGAAATAATATTACAATGATCATAAAAACCACAACAAATCAATTGACAGTCTTTTATATCATGACAAATGCTTTAACCAAAAAATCATTGGTTTAATTTTATATGTTACTAGACCACCAATGACCTGTTGAGTCACCCACTATTCAGAGGTTATGAAGAATTCAAGCTAATTTCAATATTGCACCGAAATGAAGGTTTATTTTGAGATAACTTAATTAAATATTTCAATCCATTCATGTTATTCATAATTCAAGAAAAAATATTTGATTGTTGATCGGGAGTAAAGGGAAGACTTTCATTTTTCAAAAAAGTGAAGTCAGAGTTTTCAGGTATTGTGATGAACAAACCTTTTTCACAGTTGATTCAAAACGCCTGAAAATAAGAAATAACAGATAATAGTAATGTTATTCATGGTTTATTAGAACGTAATTGACATCAAAAAACCGAAAAAAAAGCTATTTCAGAAAAACATTTCATACTTACTTGCTCAAATTACTGGAAGAAACAGTAAAACTTGATAACTGATCCACTACGAAATTCACCAAATGAAAAATCTTTCTCACTGTCTCACAGCGAATGATTTTTTGATTGAGAAAATTTTCTCGTTTCCTTACCTATCATAACCAAGGCACATTACTGAGAAAGTCTTCAAGATCTTATTTTTGTGATCTTACGCCTTTTAATGAAGATGGGAACATTGAAAGGGAAATAGATTTGAACGAAGAAGTTTCGTAAAGAGCGCGAACGGTAGTGTGATGTAAAATTACTCATGCT